TCTGGAGCAAATAATGTAGTTGCAGACGCTTTTTCCCGTATTACTTCGTTAAACAGTTTCGAAGAAATCGACCTTCTTAAACTCGCCCAGCTTCAAAAACAAGACACCGACATTGATCTTCAGCACGAGTTATCCTCAAAAACCCTCGAACTGCGTATTAAACAGATGCGAATGAGTAAGTAAACCTTATTATACGACAGATCTACAGGTAGGGATCATCCATTAGTACTGAAACATTTTCGAAGCAACGTCTTTAATACGTTGCACAGGGTTTCTCATCCAGGTGTTCGTGCAACCATCAAGCTCATGGCAGAACGATTTTTCTGGCCTGGTATGAATAAAGAAATGGGGAGTGGGAACACCCCTGTGTAAGCTGTCAGAAATCTGAGGCGATTAGACACAACAAATTTCCCTTAGGCACGTTCAAAACTCCTGATGCTCGTTTAGACCATGTTAATCTGGATTTGGTTGGACCTTTGCCAGATTCAAATACATTCTCCTATCTCGTAACATGCATAGAGCGTTTCAATCGATGGCCAGAAGCGGTACACATCAATGGCACAACTGCCGAAAAAGTGGCCCACGCCTTCATCGAACGATGTGTAGCAAATTCCGACTGCCCTTCACCGCGGACTCCAGTTCGGATCTGAACTTTCCCATTATCGAACCACACTACTAGGAATCACACTATTCCGAACGACTGCCTACCACCCATAAGCAAATGGGTTCATAGAACGCTTTCACCGACAGTTAAAAGCCTCATTATTAGCTGCAAACTTCTCACAGTGGACAGCCGCTCTTCCACTCGTCTTACCAGGTATTCGCTATGCAGTGAAAGCTGACATTGGATACACTGCAACTCAACTCGCCTATGGAACGACGCTTCGACTTCCAAGAAAATCAGTGGATCCTTCATCTTCTTCAACGAACATCGATCTAAACTCTTACACGATCAAGCTTACAAACGCAATGTGTTCAGCTAAACCTGTTTCCACTCTGCCACAATCAACTGATGTTTTCGTTCAACACGACTTACGATGTAGTACACGTGCCTTCGTACGTCAAGACTCCTATCGACGACCCCTCGAATCAGCATACGAATGAACCTTCAAAGTTCTTCAGCATGAACCTAAGTACTATTTAGTCGATAAGAACGGCACTGAAGACAACACCAGCGTCGATCGAATCAAAGCCGCGTATTTGGAAGGAAACCACAACAACGTAGATTTTCCTTCGGTACAATCGAACGACACGGCTCCTACACTTATAATACCTAATCCGACAGCCAACACTCACGTCGATACTTCGGCGGCATCTGAAAATAAACTTAAAACAATGCGTTATGGAAGAAGAGTAAGGTCTCCAGAACATTTAAACGACTATCTCGCGTAAGACACCAGATAACATTTTGCTTTATCTTAATTTTCCTTTTATCATATACAATTTAAAAAATTTAATATGCTTATACTTATATATTCATTTTAGAAACAAATTTTTTTTACTAATGTGCGTAATTTTGAATTTTAAAACAAAACCGATAAAAGTTTTTAAACCTCTTTTACGCTGTTGAAGGGGTATTAGTTTATTTACATTTTTCCGTCCGCTTTGTGTCTTTACGCGCGTACGAGTGCATTTCGACATGCACTTACACATTCTTTTTTTCTTTTCGAGGGCGGCTGGAAAAGGCGATCAAAAGAACGATGAAGTTTACGAGGAACAGAAATTTCGATCGTACTTTGTTTCCTTATTACTATATTGTATTTCATGGTCCCTTGTTCTATGGAAAGACGACCAGACGCTGCTAAATACAGCAAGCTATCAGAAGAGTGTTTACCAACAACAAACTCGTTTGGTTTAAACTTCTCGCTGACCACGTCGTAGGGTCATCACTACCTCACTAGGGGAGGGGTGACCCGTAGAGGTAAATATATCCCCAAAATCGAAAGCTCTGTAAGTGTTCGATATTGGATGCTGACCAAATTAGTTTCAATGGAATCATCCAGCTGAAGGCACTCGGTCATGCATCCGCACCAGATCATGAGTGAAAATGCCGTGCTCAGCTTCTACGACCATTAGCCAGTTAAGAACATTCACCTCTCAATATATTGGTGACCTATCAAATATATCTGCGTTTCTCTTCGCTCCTGACTTTTGATTTCACTGAGTGGGCACGTTTCAGTTATAGAAGGTACTACCGGTTAATGTGTTGTCAAACTCCAAATACTTGTGGCATCTTCAACTCTGCTGGAATCTCATGTTTCAAACATAGTCTATAGTACCCCAAACATTTCTTTATCTAAATGACGAAACGACTGACGTGTAGCCTATAAGACCCGAAAGTCTTTGGCAGCCGCCTTATAATTACTGCTAATTATAAGGTCATTGCTCATTATGGTCACCAAATCTTTGCAACCAGTCACTTTGAGCAATAATTTTCCAACTATCACGCAACTATGTAAGTCGTCAAAACGACAAATTTGAATTACTACAGTCTTGCTATGACTTATCTGTAGAAATCACCTGTTAGTGCACCTAATCATTGCGTTCGTACTCCTGTAGCCACAACCTATCAAACACTGTGTATGGGTCTACAGGAAGAGCGAAATTTCACTGATCCCTGACCAAATCACCCGGCAGTCAGGTCATTAAATATCAAACCGTTCAGCGGTCCTCATCAAAGTCAAGCAAACACAACGCGCATCAATTAACTGTACGCCATGGGCTGGTTCATGTGGTGGTAGCCGCACTTTGTTTCCTGTGCCTAGTCCTGCTAATATGTTTCTGTAATACCGTCGTTTGTGATGTACGGTCATCAGAGTAGCCATAGTACCTGGTTACGATGAAACGGTAATCCACGTTAGGTACTAACTGTCGGTTGTGAATTCTTATATAGCTGATTGTTCACACCATTTCCATCTAACACGAGTAGATCGCTAATCATATGACACGAAACATCTGTGTTGGTGATTTACAGGTCTTTACATTTTAGTGCCATCAGTAAAATTAAAGACGGATGACTTTATGACACCTATTAAATTATGTACAACAACGAAAACGTATACGAGGCTCAAGATTTTTCTTTACAGAACCCCACTCTTTATTGGCTCTTATACTGATAAGGAAATACTCACTACGCTTGTTGGCACCTGTCACTCAGAAAACTGATCACTAATAGTGCAAATATTTTGCAGTTCACTGCAGTCAAGTCTTTCCCCACAAAGAGACTGATAAACGACGAAAGGCCGTTCTCAAACTATGTTCCTCCCCCGCTAATGTTATTTTTTTCTATGTGATCCAGAGTAGTAGCATGAATACTTTTTTCAGCAACTTCGACTACATTAGTATAGTTGAAAGAATATTGTTATTAGTTAGTCACTGACTCTCCGTTAAGTAGACAGCCAAATGGTTTTCAAATATTTAAATATTCAATAGCTTTGTGAAGAGCAAGTACAAATAATTTAATTTCTCAGGGCTCAAATAGCTTTGACAAATGTTATATCTCTGAATAAGTTTATCTGATCACACCGCTGCAGTAGACACCGTGTCTAATAGAGTTAGGTCATCAATACTTCCAAAGAAGGGCCTAAATGCATTAAATAAACCAAGTGTAAGTATTGATAAATCTATGTGAAGTACTGTCCTGAATCTCTAAAATAAAATCAAGCTTCCTCTTGAAGGAGTTCTGGGAGGTTTCTCGATACTACCCAGTTTGTAAACAATTTCAAAGCTTTACTTCTCATAAAGCGTGGAAGGTGCACCTACAGTCTAGTTTGGTATGTTTAATCTCTGATTTCTGGGTATTTCTCCTGTTTTGATAAATAAATCTCCAAAATAAGTTGTTTCATAAGTCTTTGATACTATTAATTAAGAAAAGACGACAAGAAATGAACCAGAATGAATCAGTTTTCTGGAGTTTTTGATCTTTTGAATGGTCAGTTGTTTAATATTCTTTAAAAGGTATCTGCTACCTTACCGCAGATCATACAGTGAACAACTTTATTCAAGCTCCTTTTCTGCCCTTCTCGTTACGTCCTACTCAGGATAATGTACTATGACGTCTTAGACTGATCCATGTTTGTGCCGGGCTTTGAGTTTGGTTTGACTGGCTGAAGCTTAACGATGACTTCTTACTTAACGTGTCTTATTTATTTGTCCGTGTTAGTTACATCCTCGAAAAGCTTAAGAACTGCCATAATTTTCTACCAGAGAAATTAGTATTTTCACTTTCTGTTGATACATTTAAAGACGGATCACAGTATTAAAAGTTGTGAGGCTCAATATAATGTACCTGTTCTTCTGTTCTTACTGCTGGCTTTATACGTATTTTAATGCCATCCAAACACAAAGCATAGGAATTAGGATTCTACCGATATTCATTGCTTGACATTGCTGAGGTCCGTAGTTCCCTATTGATTGAGGATCCAAAATACAGTCTGATCAATATTTGGGGTAGCAGGGTTTTGAAGACATATTTAGAAAATGGCCGATACGTCCAGAAGTGTGTAATCATACATGACTAGTTGTTGTTGGGGACGCACAACACGGGGTACCCAAACGTGAGCTGATGCAAATGTGTGACTGGGAACATTCGGCTAGCAGCATGTTCAGTGGAACTGACGAGGTCAACAATAATATCAAGGACTTATGAAACAACTTATTTTGGAGATTTATTTATCAAAACAGGAGAAATACCCAGAAATCAGAGATTAAACATACCAAACTAGACTGTAGGTGCACCTTCCACGCTTTATGAGAAGTAAAGCTTTGAAATTGTTTACAAACTGGGTAGTATCGAGAAACCTCCCAGAACTCCTTCAAGAGGAAGCTTGATTTTATTTTAGAGATTCAGGACAGTACTTCACATAGATTTATCAATACTTACACTTGGTTTATTTAATGCATTTAGGCCCTTCTTTGGAAGTATTGATGACGTAACGCTACTAATTATGTAAGTCTGCTAAGCGAAAGCTTCCGTTAATTTGCTAAAAACATTTCGAATCATTCGAATTTCAGGAATTGTACACTGGGTACCGCCTGTTTTAACTTGTTGAGCCGCTTCAATGTGATTTGTCCTGGTACTACAAACTTGTCTGTCATTTAGGCCCTTAATATATGGATGATTCGGAAGAGGTAACATATTTTGAATAAAGTAATTTCGTGCTTCAGGATCCCGATCTTCTAAACGAAGAGACATTCGATTGTGCAGAGATAGGTTTGGGTCACTCTTATTATGATAACTTTCAGGTGACTGGGAGAATGAGCATGATCAATTTGTGCAAAATTTTCACAAAGTTTCCGAAGAATCTCCAACTGCTGATGAACTACCAAAGTTCTGGAATGACTCTGATGGTCTTTCATTTTTATGGCAAACGGATGATCTCGGTTGTGGTGTGATTGCGGATGATGGGGGCGAAAAGGTAAGCGAATAGATGACAGTTTGAATTTTTTGAAGGTTGTCGATGTCGAGGAAACACTTCAAAAGCTAGTATCAGATGAGACCTTTGAGGATCCTGCAATCCTAGATATATCCAGGAAGGTTTCTTACCAACAGCTCAACGAAGACTCCTTTCAGCATCTGAGAAACGCACCTGCATATCCTACTGCTCCCACTGACATCTTTGATAGGACTCGTGACATCTGGAGCATTGAAGGTAGTTATGAGACTAGATATGGAAGCGGTAAGGCCAGCATAGCGTCTGATTGTAATATGAAATCGAAAAACGTGATCGATGTACTCCGATCATTAAATGTTTGCCATCCCTCAGCTTCCAAGACTGTATCTACACCATCTGAAGCTTCTACAGAAGATTGCTTGCCAGGTAAGCATGCTACAGAGTCACAAATCAGGGGAGTTGATACTGAATTGTACTCCAAAGCTTCTCGATCTCCAGGAAACCTTCAAAATATTGTACCAGTTAGTCAGCACAAAGTGTATCCTAACCCTGTATTCTCTCCTGGGAATCGCATCTGTCAGTCACAAACGATCCAAAATTCTCTCTCTGTCAATGTGAGTGTTTTTCGTGCAACAATTCGCCTTATATTTATTAGGATTCTTCATACTATTTCTACAGGTTGCTATCCATTTTACTTTGTTATTTCAAACGTCATAAATTCTAAAACCTCAGCATTTTCTTTGGATTCAGATGTTTCATTATTTCACTACCGTTTGAATTAACTAGCATTTAAAAAAATAAATGAGCTTTAATAAATCAAAATAAAATCTATAAAGGAGGCAGTTATTGTAGTGATATGTAGTTCAACCATTTTTTTGTCACTTCAGAAGAGAGCACCCGTCCTGCTTAAACTATTTATTTCCAAGAGCGAAATAAAAGTAGTAGACGCACGTAACTAAGCAGACGTATTACTACTTATAACCCATCTTATGCTTATCATCGGCCATTGCCGATATATCGCAAAGTTCCATTACTTTGAGTTCTAATATCTCTGTCTATAAATTGAATTTAGGGATTTCATTGGTAGCTATAGTGGCATACATCACTTAATGTATATTTCTTGATATATTTCCATTTCCTGCTTCTGTTTGGGCACCTGGGCAGTATCACGGCCCTCACACAAATCAAATAAGATTTGTGTGGCGCATATTTATTTGGTGCTTTTTGTACCAATATTTGTGTGTTTAAATAAATAAATAAAATAAATAAATAAGCTAGTATAAACATGATTTAAACAGGAATTCATGAAGTATTTATTTATGTTCATGCATGAAGTTTTATATTTGACTAAAGTTATGGGGTCCTGAACATGCGATGAGTATACCATCTGAGTGATACTTAACCGATGGATATTGACTTAGAGGACTCGACTTTGTAAACAATAGGGATAGGTTCTGGATACTTCTTTACTCGATATTCAATCTGAAGGATTCTTTCTATCCTTTTTATTTGGCGTATTTCAAGCTTACAGAGTGTATCATTAGAGTCACTCACTTTACTGAGCAAACTTGTAAGAAAAGCCAAGATTTCCATCCAAGATTTTAATCTGACTACATTGACCTAGCTTGTGTCTCTTAGGATCTGACCAAAATGCAAGTGAAACCCATTTCCGCTTCACTTTCCCTGAAATGCAATTAAAACATGTTTTCTTTTTTGGTGGTGTGATGAAATCTAAGTTTTGAATGTGCACATTGTCAATCATTTCTACAAGCAGCATACTTTAAAGCTCTAAGGATAATTAAACGTTGTTCTGTAAAATATCCACCTAAAGCACATATTATAAGTAGTTGTTTACTCGTAATGTCCGTTAACCACTCATATACGAATAAAGAAATGGAAATACACTAAGGGAAAAGCTGAAGAATATCGGTAAAATACTAGGGTTTTTTTCAGTCCCAATGTTTTCTCGCAGTTTGGTGAAAGCTTTGAATGTAAATTTTCTTATAAGAAACTGATATTCTCCTAGTAGGATTAATCAGTTGAAGACAGATTATGATCTTACTATTAGAGTTATCCCGTAGAAAGTTTTTGGTTCTGGTCAAAGAGAAAATTTTAAGGACAGCTTACTTACCTTCGATTCTTACTTTCTAGAGTGATTTCAGTCAAACCAATGAACTACATTCTTTTGTTGGTTAATCGAGAAAGCTTTAAAGTTTAATAGATTGTATAAGAATGTTGCAACCTGTTTTATTCAGTCGTTAGTTGTTAACAAGTGTTTTATTGATAGATATAATGGTAGGGATATACCAGTTCATTCAACTTTTGATAATTGTCCTTTTTGAAAGCCACTGAATATTATAGTCGTTTTTTACCCCGTCCTTTTTAATGTAGTGAAGAATGTAAAAGGAAACATCTGTGTCCCTTAAAATTTGTTTTGAGTACCCAGGAAACCATTCATTGTTACGATATCTGTGACAATCTTTACGTGATCTTTAATACCATACTACATGAGAGCAGTCCATTTTTGTTGCACCTATTAGTATATGCTGCGACCTGTATTACATTACAGCGATGGCTAGTATAAACGGAAACATGCTATTAAATGTATGAAAGTCCATAAACATTGGGCAGTTACATAAGAAACCAATCGTATAACTTATTCTAACTTAGGGCGCTGTAGTAATCTGTCTTTAAAAGTAAGCCAGTCAGTCAGCTACAACGTAGGACCAGGCACATATATGCATCGGTCCAAGTTGCCATACCTCGTTAGCACAACAAGATCAACACTGGATTCATAGAAGTAATTAATTTAGTGGTGGTAGTAGTATATAAATTATAGGTTGTATATAAGGATATAGTACAGGAAGGGAGATATGAAGCAATTTTAGTCTCAAGGTTTAAGGGAAGATAAAGAGTAAATACACCTACGCCATTGCGATCGATTCTGAGCCATGTCACCTAGAGTCTCCAACCATTGGTTACGATAGTCACGCGGACCCCAACCAGGTAGTCTGCATCTGCCAACATGGCTCAGACTAGAAGTTAGTGACTTCAAACACTGATGCCATGTTTTGGTTTGGCCGCCCCTAACTCTCTTCCAACAATCCTCAGTACTAGTCATCATAGCGCGTCGTGGTAATCGGTGTTCAGGCATACGTAACACATGGCCCAACCATCTCAGTCGATTAAGATTCATCACCTCATCAACTGATTTACCATCGTTCCCTAATACCCTGCGTCTAATCTCACTATTACTTACCCGGTGATCCCAGCAGATGCGAGCAATATTTCTAAGGCATCTGTGGTCAAATACTAGTAACCTACGAGTATCTTCTACTCTTAATGACCATGTTTCACAGTCGTAAAGCAGAACAGAGCGAACTGCTGCGCAGTATACTCGTCCTTTAATTGATAGACGGATATCTTGTCTTCGCCATAGGTGACGTAAGTTGGCAAAAGCCAAACGAGCTTTTCGAATCCGTGCTGAGATTTCGTCAGACACCAACCCATTAGGGCTGATCACACTTCCAAGATAAGTGAAGTTGTCGACGCGTTCGACTACTTCACTCCCTATCCTTAGTTCGAGTGTTGACGCAGGCCTGTCCTGGAGTAACAATTTACATTTGGATGGGGAGAAGCGCATCCCAAACATCCTGGCATTATTACTCAGTTTCAACAGAAGACTCTGCATTTTGCCAGCGTCTTCACCAAACAGGACTATGTCATCTGCGTATTCTAAGTCGCTTAGTGGTCCCCCTGGTAGGAGATCAATTCCTGTAAATTCAGTCGAAGAGATTGTTATTTCCAACAACAGGTCTATAATGAAGTTAAACAAAAATGGGGATAGTGGACAGCCTTGTCGGACACCACTTGAGGTTGTAAAATCAGGTGACAGTTCGCCATAAACTCTCACTCGACTGGTAGTGTTCGAGTAAAGAGTCTTCACAAGATTTATGTACTTCTCAGGTACACCTTTCAATGACAGACACTGCCACAGAACCTCTCGATCTACAGAGTCAAATGCTGCTTTTAAGTCAAGAAAAAACTATCATTGTCGGACGCCGATAAGCATGTCTGTGCTCTAAAACTTGATGAATGGTGAATATGTGGTCGATACAGCCACGACCAGGTCTGAAGCCAGCCTGATTTTCTCGTGTTTGCAGTTCACGAGTCTTAGTTAGGCGCCCGATAATTATTGAGGCTAGTATTTTAGATGCTATGTTAGTCAGACTAATCCCTCTATGGTTATCGCAGGATGATTTTGACCCCTTTTTATATATTGGGACAATAAGTGATTGTGACCAGTCGGATGGGATTACATCCGTCTCCCAGATTTTAGCCAGAATATTAGTCAACCTAATCGCTAAAATTGGACCACCATATTTAAAGACCTGGAGCCAATCCATCTGGACCAGCTGCTCTTCCTCGTTTCAGATTACCTATAGCCTTTTGAACTTCAAGTAGGGTCGGGGGGGCAACTTCAACGTTCCATTCAGACTGTCTGGGAATAGTGGGTAATTCTGCAGTAGCTGAAGGCCAGCTAAACTGCTCTTTAAAGTGTTCCGCCCATCGTTCTAAACGTTTGGGTTGAGAGCAGATAAGGGTTCCGTCTTTTTCCGAGATTGTCTCACTTACAGTTAACTTCTTAATTCCGGTTTCTTTTATTAGTCTGAATAGTTGCCTGGTGTTGCCTACAGCCACTGCTTTTTCCATCTCTTTTACTTTCGTTGCCCACCACTGCTCACGATCGTTCCTTAGACTTTTAGTTAACCTAGATCTAATTTCTTTACGCTCTTCGTCATGTTCAGAGCCTGGTGGGATGAGTTTACGCGAATCCATCAGTGAAATAGACTTAGAAGAAATCCACTGGTTTTTTGGAGCCATATGGTTTAAATAACTAATAGATGTTACTGCTGTTTCCACAGTTGTTCGTGTGTCTTTCCAAGCAGCATCTGTGTCAGTCTTGTTTACAGAACTGCCTAGATGTGAACTCAGTTGTTTCTGGAATTCGCATTTGGCTTTCTCGTCCTCCAGTTCAATCCTAATGGGTCTTCTTAGTGTACTTTTCCTGCGTCCATTGAGGCGCAGACAAATGCGCGCTCGTATTAAAGCGTGATCAGAGTCTAAACAAGTATTCCAATACGAGCGACAATCTTCTATTGAGCCTCTCCAACGATGACTGATGACAATATGGTCTATTTGAGTCCATCGTTGGTTTGGTGCAGGTGGTCGCCATGTTAGACGATGTCTTTCCTTATGTTTAAAATTAGTGCTTGCTAAAAATAAACGATTGTCTGAGCATAGTTGCAACAGACGATCACCATTATCGGTTCGTTGAGCCGGAATACTAAAACACCCACCTAAATGTCTTTCTGTTTGAATTAAGCTGCCTACCTGGGCATTAAAGTCACCCGCTACGACTACTATGTCTGAGCGCTTAGCTTTCTGAAGAAGCTCAGAGAGTTTTCTGTAAAAGTCATCTTTTACTTCATCATGGCTGCAGTCAGTGGGAGCGTAGGCAGAAACGACGAAGAGGCAACGACGTGTGTCCCTATCCTTCCGAGTTCTTACGGAGCCATTTAGCCGGACAGCACACAGGCGACTGTTAACGGGGATCCATTCTAGTAGTGCCTGTTCTGCCCTTGTACTTAGTGCTATGCCTACACCTGCAAGTCCACGAGAACTAGCCAACGGGTCGCCAGATACACGGAGGGTGTATTTCGTTGGCTGTCCATTTTGGCGAGGTGAGGTCAAGTGAATGACCACACTGGGATCCTGTATGTGTGTTTCGGAGACACAGCATACATCAATGGTACGAGATTCTAGGGTTTTAGCTAAGGAGGCCTGTTGACCGATTTGACTTAAAGTACGTACGTTGAAGGCTCCAATGTGTAGTTTGGAGCGAGGTTTTAGCAGACCTGGGACAGCGTTTCGCGCACTAGAATCGTTGGCCATGGTGACACTTGAGGAGGAAACCGGAACAGGAAGTTTAGTGTTGAAAGTCAAGGTAGAAGGAATAGTAGGAAATGAAGGAGATTGATTATGAATACAGTGGTCTTGAGTGCTGTTAGAGGTATGAGGGCAGTTATCACTTCCCGGTTGCCCACACCGTAGAAGGGTTCTTCTAGAGGTACCTGAAAGGGAAATTGGGTTAGAAGTGGTCTTAATGACCTGAGAGCGTGACCGCAGTGCCCAATGGACAACTGCTTGAGGTCGGTCACACACGGCCTTTTTGTGGGTAGTTTTTGTGTTAGCTCCGTTCTTCAAATGACCTTACCTCCGGAGACGGATATCCGTGGGATAAGGTGAGGTGTGCATTTTTAGGGTCGACCTTTTCTAACCCCACCCCTCCTTGTGGAAAGGCAGCATTGCTGTCATGCTGGTTGTCTGAAGGAAACACCTTACTGCTGTCACACCTCTGTACAGTCAGCAGTACAACTTCGCCTTCGGACCTTGGGTTTGCTGCTTTTAGTCTCACCGCTCTTCAACCGACCTGTCTGGCATGGTAGGACCTCGGGGAACGATTGTTCCAGCCAGCATAGCTCGATCGCTTCATCACGATAGGCAACCCTGACCACCACATCAAGGTAAGAATTTAACTATATATCGAACTGAGCAAAATGAACGTACGTAAGTTAGCAAGTGGGAGTTTAGGAACTGCTTTTTCTCCCTTATCATATTTTGGATCTCGTAAAACACAAACTACTGAATCTTTTATCCGACGCGCCAATCCAAAAAGTGTTGGGATATCCTTTATTTAATTAGCTAGCTTCAATTAATTTACCTGTTATAACACACGAGCACTATTCCAATCACCGCCACAACAGACTAATGGTTGTTTAACGTATACAGCATTAGCTATAATCATAAAGTTACTTAAAAAGTGTCAAATGTCCTATGCTACTGCTTCTAGTTTCTTTATTAAATTAATAACCTCCCCATGTATTCCACTCAGTTTGAAAGCGTCCTAAGTTTAGAACTGTGGAATATTGGGCTCTAAATGTAGCGATCGATTACACTAGCACATAATGGATAGGTCTACTTTCAGACCAGTATTCTGTCAACAGACTAACCAGGGCAATATTCGGCACTTTAGGCTATCGCATTGTACAAATGAAGTCACTTCAGTTTATGCATAGTATTGAGGGTACTGGTTTATTATCTCATCAGTTAGTTTATTGTGGCACACGATTTCGGTCTTTATTAAGCCTCGTGCCTAACGGTAGTGTGTTGGTTTAGTGGACAAATAATTTATTTTAGATTTTGTATGCATGGCAACTGCTAAAATTCAAAGGTATCTGAACTGGCAATCTTTTTCATTACTGTTGTTGATATGAAAACCCACTCTTTTTGTGTTATAGCAGAATGGAATACATCCCAATCATTTACGCACCAACCCTTTTTCACTGGATATTTTGAAGGGACAGTTGCATACTGATGTCAGTGTTTTCCCCACGTTACCGGCAGTGCAGTCTGTATTTAAAAATATACATCCCTCAAAGTGGGATTACTCACAAATTCATGGGTAAATGTTATTTTGACTGAATATTCATATTTCTGGTGGTCGAATTTATATTGTTAATGTATACAACTGCTATATTTCAAGATTTGACCAGTAGAGTGGTGTCGTCTTCTGCTATACATGAGATGTGACTCGATTTCCTGTACTCGACTCCAAATTACTACCTCAGAGACACTAAATGAAAAGTTTGTACGATGTAACCATGAACTTTAAGATCACTCACAAAAATACATTTGACACAAATCTTGTAGATCATCACACTACTTAGAGGTATGTATTTGCACCTGCTTGTTGGAAAAAAGTCAATTGATATCGACTCAATTTGTTTTTAGTTTCCCCGTAATTACAAAGTTTATAACTCAGTTTCCGTACCCATATATAATATATAAATTAGCTCGTCTACTAGGTATTTTGGCATGAGTCACACTCTAAGCGTGAGTTAATAATCTTACCCGGTCGCCCGAACCTTACTGGGTCAAGGGGGGTTTGTTAAGATGAAAACAAATGTATAATTCAGTGATGAATTGTGTTTCTTAGTCAAGTCAATCAACTTATTGATTTTATAAATTAAATGCACACATCAGATTATTGATTAATCGCTAGGTAGTTTATGTGAATCTATCAATTGACCGAACATCTTAAATGATATATAATTTATCATTATTATTGTGGATGCCTTTTCAATAATGGTTGGGTAATAAGACAGTCTTCTGAAGTCTTGTCTTCTTCTTTAGGTTAGCATAGCTGTCTTATTCCGTTGCAATGCATAACGGGTAGCAGTTATTCTGCGGTCTTAGTAAGCCGTCGTACCAGTAGCGGTGATCGGCGCAACACTGACACACGTCTTGTTTTAAGTCATTGTAGGGTCCGGACTCGGGACTTAGTGGTACCAATAATATCATCTTTCTCCCTTCTTCTATTGCAGAGAAAATAAGTAAACTCAATTCAAATTCTGTTGAATAAGAGATCTATGATAAATTAACATAAAGTGAATAACCAGTTAAAATGCACAATCGATAATGAGAAAATTGAAATTACTTAGTAATGAGTAAAAATAATCAAATAATTAATTTACCAGGTATCTGGATATAAGCCACACTCTAAGTGTAACGGCTAGTGATACCACTCGATCGTTCAAACCTAAGTGGAGTGGGTTTCAAACCAGTAAACCTGCTGGTTGAAATTTATTTATCTGAACACATGTTAGTACTAGGGGGCACCAAATATGTATGCACCATACAATAACAATGTGGTTGTGAAGTGACAGATAATGTATAGTATGTATAATAAAAAAGATCAACGATAAACATAAATTGTTGTATGAGTGAAATAATAATGATAATGGGAGAGACAGTTCAATCAAGAAAAGTACCACCAGTAAGAATCCTTCCAATGAGAGAAATTACTATCACTTTTGTGAAGAAAGTGGTTACAACAGGGCCGTCAGTGACCTCTATTTTGAGACATGTTTGATAATGTCTCTAGCCACTGTGTTGTACCATTTCCAGGACTCCAATCACTTTCCAGTATTTAAAATTCATCAGGGAAATAATATATGTGGTCTTCTAATGCTACAGTTTGTATTGTATACTTAGGCTGACAATTTTCAACTTGTTAGAATGTTTGCTTAAATTAGGAATAATTTGTTCTTGTTCTTGTGGTTGTGTGGTTTCATTCAGTTTCACATATATCTATTCTTTATTGGACTGAGCTTCAACCTTGCTAGTCGAATCCCAGTTATTTGGTAATTTAATCTGGGTCGCATTTGTTTCTTGGTGTTTGTTAGTTGAAATTGGAAGCCACAAGTATTTGATTTATGTAATTCAGTATTATTTTGCAGTTTGGCATTGGTGCGAAATCAGTGCATTCTTCAACAAAACCCACCTGTCGTTTCACCTGTTTCCTCAAGTCAGCACAATCCTTTTATTTCATCTCCGAGCGTTCGTGGATTAATGTTACCAAATATCCAACCCAATGATTTATCGCTTTCCTCATACCTTTCACGTTTTCCTGTTCAACCAACAAATGCCGAGTCTAAGCAGTCTGTTAGTCTGTCATCAACTATTATACCGTGTTCAAAACAACCATCAGGATTCGTCGCTTCACTCGAGGAAGTGTCCATAGTTAAAGAAAGCGACCCAAACCGTGGTGGTTGGATGACAGATTATGAAGCAATTGGTGTGTTGTTAATTCAGTTGCGTCCTTTAATGGTATCTAATCCCTATGTCCAGGTCAGTTTCTTATTTTCTGAATGAGTTTCTAATTTACTACACTTTTAGTTGATTATGTGATTCTTAAGTAGCAGAGTTGCTTGAACATTAATGCCTCTGATCACTGAATGATTTTATCGGCTGGATCGTTTGTCTTTTCATTCACTGTAAGTGAAACATAGAAGCTCTAGTTCTTAGGACTTGATGAAAATTAATCAAGGTTAATAGTTTCGTGATAAGTCACATATTTACAGCAGTATGAAGCATCACATTATTAGGGCTATGCGGTAATAAAAATGTAGGTCAAACCTCTCCATATATCTGTTTAGTGAATATAATTTGGGCGAGATTGCCTGTTTTGGAACGTCTTTTAATACGGTTTGAAAGTTGATACACCATATATTTATCATCGAAATGATGGAATTCGACATCAAAATACTCGTTCTTTGAATTCCAGGTTCAATGAAATCCCACTTGTTTCGGATGATTTCCTTCAAGAATAATTTGCTATAACTTCTGAGGATTTTGGCACAGTTGATAGTTTTTTCAACGGTTAATCCTAATAAATAGTTGTCTATTTATCTCAAATTATGTATTCAAATTTCACATAACAAATAATCAAATTCTAACAAACAATTATTAGTTATAGTTGAAAGCGTGAGTCAATTGAAGCTAGACCGCCATGGAAAATCTGGAAACACTGGACGGCCGTTTCGTCCTATTATGGGACTCCTCAGCAGTGCGCATCCACGAACCCGCTCTCGCGAGATTCGAACCCAGGACCTACCAGTCTCGAGCCGAAGCCCTTAACCGATAGACCACTGAGCTGGCATCCAACGGTGTTAATGTCTAACTTCAACTGATCCACGAAGTTGAGCAACCATTCACCAATTGTCTTCAGTGAGTTGATATCTCACAACAGACGTGGTTTTGAACTCCACTGGTCACTAAATCTCCACAAAACCCCTTCTATAATTATTAGTTAGCCTATAATTTATTATGGGCAAATATGTATGGTTGTACAGCTTTGAAAATGAATTATTTGCTGAGTTAATCATTTTATTATTCAAGAGGTGTTTTTTAGAATTAATTTCCGAGGTAATATAGATTGAATTTCATGTATGTGTTCTTAGGACCATGAATTTCCATGGCTTGTTTATTCATACTCAGATCAATGTCTCTTTTGATTTTGAACTTTCTATGTAAAAGTGACCAGGAACTTCCGAGGCTTATTCATTTCTATCTTGAGTAACCGAAATGCATCGGTGTGCATAAGTCAGTAATACCCAGAATGTTGATTCTGTTACCAGTTGTTCCGTCACTTGACTTAAAATGCATTACTGCTTGATATACTGTAATTCAGTTAATTTCTGTGTCATGAGTGGAAAATGTAGTGGTTGTTTTATTCAGACAAGTTTTTAGTTGTTAGTTTAACGGTATAGTAGTTTCTCCATTTCGAGACATAATCTCACTGTTATAGTTGTTTTTAATCTCCCAGCTATACAACAAAATAAAAATAAATAACATCCGAAAATCTGCTAATTTCTGAGTTTTAATTTTGTTTAGGTATACGTTTATTGCTGTCAATGTACCTGAGCGTCTTTCTTTTTGTCGTGAACAAGTCTAATAATGATATCATACACTGACTAGTTATTCAAAGACTACTAACCATTATTTCTCTTGCCAGGATTATTATTTTGCATCTCAATGGCTGCGACGAATGAATGCTATTCAAGCTAAGCATATTTCAAAACATAAAATGAACACTACAACTTCACCAGCAATAGTGCAGCTTCCTATTCCTATACCATTGGAAAGCTTGAGCGATTCCAATTCATCCTATCAAGTAACTCTAAAACATAAACTTGTTATTCCGTTTCGTGTTGTGAATCGCAATCCTGGCTCTGACCAAAATGTGGATGAAAGCTGTGGTAGCTTAGAAAAAAAAAGTGTATGTTCAGAAACTCCTACATCTGAATCAAGTAATGCACTGGGTCGTCCTACTAGATCTAATGTTCATCGACCCCGTGTAGTAGCAGAGTTATCTCTGGCGTCCGCGATTTCATCTATTTCAGAAAACACTTATCCAATGATACACATCGATAACCACTCACTGAATAGAAAAGTAAGTTACACAATATAACACAAAATAATCAATACAATACTAAAGACAAAAAATGCGCATCAATTTCTCCCGGCGTGTGCTAAATGTACACTTCTTATCAGTACATGAAGGACGGATATTATGTGTTGGGTTGATTATGTGTTGATTGTTTTTCGTTGTAATAGTGGTGTTTGAATGTTTGGTGAATGATGGTTATGGGGAGGACTGGTGTTCCCAGTTATGTTTCCGTTGTTCAGGTTGTGTGTGTTGTGATGTTGTAGTGTGTGTAATGCATGTAAGTACTCTCAACCAGTCCACTTGTTGTTTGTTAACATATGTGGGTGTAATGAGAGTGACATTGATGGTTGGACAGAATTCTCGTTGGACGACGATGTTGATTTGCGTAGTCGTGTTCCATTTTCTGTCTACATGTTGATGAAGGAGTGTGTTTGTGTGTGTGTGTGTGAATGTGGGATATTGTGTGTTGGGTTGATTATGTGTTGATTGTTTTTCGTTGTAATAGTGGTGTTTGAATGTTTGGTGAATGATGGTTATGGGGAGGACTGGTGTTCCCAGTTATGTTTCCGTTGTTCAGGTTGTGTGTGTTGTGATGTTGTAGTGTGTGTAATGCATGTAAGTACTCTCAACCAGTCCACTTGTTGTTTGTTAACATATGTGGGTGTAATGAGAGTGACATTGATGGTTGGACAGATTTCTCGTTGGACGACGATGTTGATTTGCGTAGTCGTGTTCCATTTTCTGTCTACATGTTGATGAAGGAGTGTGTTTGTGTGTGTGTGTGTGTGAATGTGGGATATTGTGTGTTGGGTTGATTATGTGTTGATTGTTTTTCGTTGTAATAGTGGTGTTTGAATGTTTGGTGAATGATGGTTATGGGGAGGACTGGTGTTCCCAGTTATGTTTCCGTTGTTCAGGTTGTGTGTGTTGTGATGTTGTAGTGTGTGTAATGCATGTAAGTACTCTCAACCAGTCCACTTGTTGTTTGTTAACATATGTGGGTGTAATGAGAGTGACATTGATGGTTGGACAGATTTCTCGTTGGACGACGATGTTGATTTGCGTAGTCGTGTTCCATTTTCTGTCTACATGTTGATGAAGGAGTGTGTTTGTGTGTGTGTGTGTGAATGTGGGATATTGTGTGTTGGGTTGATTATGTGTTGATTGTTTTTCGTTGTAATAGTGGTGTTTGAATGTTTGGTGAATGATGGTTATGGGGAGGACTGGTGTTCCCAGTTATGTTTCCGTTGTTCAGGTTGTGTGTGTTGTGATGTTGTAGTGTGTGTAATGCATGTAAGTACTCTCAACCAGTCCACTTGTTGTTTGTTAACATATGTGGGTGTAATGAGAGTGACATTGATGGTTGGACAGATTTCTCGTTGGACGACGATGTTGATTTGCGTAGTCGTGTTCCATTTTCTGTCTACATGTTGATGAAGGAGTGTGTGTGTGTGTGTGTGTGTGAATGTGGGATATTGTGTGTTGGGTTGATTATGTGTTGATTGTTTTTCGTTGTAATAGTGGTGTTTGAATGTTTGGTGAATGATGGTTATGGGGAGGACTGGTGTTCCCAGTTATGTTTCCGTTGTTCAGGTTGTGTGTGTTGTGATGTTGTAGTGTGTGTAATGCATGTAAGTACTCTCAACCAGTCCACTTGTTGTTTGTTAACATATGTGGGTGTAATGAGAGTGACATTGATGGTTGGACAGATTTCTCGTTGGACGACGATGTTGATTTGCGTAGTCGTGTTCCATTTTCTGTCTACATGTTGATGAAGGAGTGTGTTTGTGTGTGTGTGTGTGAATGTGGGATATTGTGTGTTGGGTTGATTATGTGTTGATTGTTTTTCGTTGTAATAGTGGTGTTTGAATGTTTGGTGAATGATGGTTATGGGGAGGACTGGTGTTCCCAGTTATGTTTCCGTTGTTCAGGTTGTGTGTGTTGTGATGTTGTAGTGTGTGTAATGCATGTAAGTACTCTCAACCAGTCCACTTGTTGTTTGTTAACATATGTGGGTGTAATGAGAGTGACATTGATGGTTGGACAGATTTCTCGTTGGACGACGATGTTGATTTGCGTAGTCGTGTTCCATTTTCTGTCTACATGTTGATGAAGGAGTGTGTTTGTGTGTGTGTGTGTGAATGTGGGATATTGTGTGTTGGGTTGATTATGTGTTGATTGTTTTTCGTTGTAATAGTGGTGTTTGAATGTTTGGTGAATGATGGTTATGGGGAGGACTGGTGTTCCCAGTTATGTTTCCGTTGTTCAGGTTGTGTGTGTTGTGATGTTGTAGTGTGTGTAATGCATGTAAGTACTCTCAACCAGTCCACTTGTTGTTTGTTAACATATGTGGGTGTAATGAGAGTGACATTGATGGTTGGACAGATTTCTCGTTGGACGACGATGTTGATTTGCGTAGTCGTGTTCCATTTTCTGTCTACATGTTGATGAAGGAGTGTGTTTGTGTGTGTGTGTGTGAATGTGGGATATTGTGTGTTGGGTTGATTATGTGTTGATTGTTTTTCGTTGTAATAGTGGTGTTTGAATGTTTGGTGAATGATGGTTATGGGGAGGACTGGTGTTCCCAGTTATGTTTCCGTTGTTCAGGTTGTGTGTGTTGTGATGTTGTAGTGTGTGTAATGCATGTAAGTACTCTCAACCAGTCCACTTGTTGTTTGTTAACATATGTGGGTGTAATGAGAGTGACATTGATGGTTGGACAGATTTCTCGTTGGACGACGATGTTGATTTGCGTAGTCGTGTTCCATTTTCTGTCTACATGTTGATGAAGGAGTGTGTGTGTGTGTGTGTGTGTGAATGTGGGATATTGTGTGTTGGGTTGATTATGTGTTGATTGTTTTTCGTTGTAATAGTGGTGTTTGAATGTTTGGTGAATGATGGTTATGGGGAGGACTGGTGTTCCCAGTTATGTTTCCGTTGTTCAGGTTGTGTGTGTTGTGATGTTGTAGTGTGTGTAATGCATGTAAGTACTCTCAACCAGTCCACTTGTTGTTTGTTAACATATGTGGGTGTAATGAGAGTGACATTGATGGTTGGACAGATTTCTCGTTGGACGACGATGTTGATTTGCGTAGTCGTGTTCCATTTTCTGTCTACATGTTGATGAAGGAGTGTGTTTGTGTGTGTGTGTGTGTGAATGTGGGATATTGTGTGTTGGGTTGATTATGTGTTGATTGTTTTTCGTTGTAATAGTGGTGTTTGAATGTTTGGTGAATGATGGTTATGGGGAGGACTGGTGTTCCCAGTTATGTTTCCGTTGTTCAGGTTGTGTGTGTTGTGATGTTGTAGTGTGTGTAATGCATGTAAGTACTCTCAACCAGTCCACTTGTTGTTTGTTAACATATGTGGGTGTAATGAGAGTGACATTGATGGTTGGACAGAATTCTCGTTGGACGACGATGTTGATTTGCGTAGTCGTGTTCCATTTTCTGTCTACATGTTGATGAAGGAGTGTGTTTGTGTGTGTGTGTGTGAATGTGGGATATTGTGTGTTGGGTTGATTATGTGTTGATTGTTTTTCGTTGTAATAGTGGTGTTTGAATGTTTGGTGAATGATGGTTATGGGGAGGACTGGTGTTCCCAGTTATGTTTCCGTTGTTCAGGTTGTGTGTGTTGTGATGTTGTAGTGTGTGTAATGCATGTAAGTACTCTCAACCAGTCCACTTGTTGTTTGTTAACATATGTGGGTGTAATGAGAGTGACATTGATGGTTGGACAGAATTCTCGTTGGACGACGATGTTGATTTGCGTAGTCGTGTTCCATTTTCTGTCTACATGTTGATGAAGGAGTGTGTTTGTGTGTGTGTGTGTGTGAATGTGGGATATTGTGTGTTGGGTTGATTATGTGTTGATTGTTTTTCGTTGTAATAGTGGTGTTTGAATGTTTGGTGAATGATGGTTATGGGGAGGACTGGTGTTCCCAGTTATGTTTCCGTTGTTCAGGTTGTGTGTGTTGTGATGTTGTAGTGTGTGTAATGCATGTAAGTACTCTCAACCAGTCCACTTGTTGTTTGTTAACATATGTGGGTGTAATGAGAGTGACATTGATGGTTGGACAGATTTCTCGTTGGACGACGATGTTGATTTGCGTAGTCGTGTTCCATTTTCTGTCTACATGTTGATGAAGGAGTGTGTTTGTGTGTGTGTGTGAATGTGGGATATTGTGTGTTGGGTTGATTATGTGTTGATTGTTTTTCGTTGTAATAGTGGTGTTTGAATGTTTGGTGAATGAAGGTTGCAGATTTCTTTGTTTTCTTGTATTTTGTTCTGATTTGTCTTTTTTTTCAATGTGTGCTTATGGTTTTTTCTAATTGTTTTTTTTGTTCTGTCGTATTATTATTAATTTATTTTCTTTTTTTCGTGTTTTGTTTGTTCTCTCTTTTAGGTTGATGATGAGGATTATATTCCTGCTCGTGCTGAGTCATCTGATGTGAAGTGCAATCGTCGTCGTTTGCTTATTCTTGCTCAAATCGAACGTGTATGTTTTTCTCGTTTGTATAGTTCTTGTTATATATTTTTTTATCGTGTTTGTGTCGTAAATCGTTTTTCATTTGTTGTAACTTTGTAGGTCAAAAATCAATCTCTCTGTCGTTTTCGTCGTTGCTTTGTTAAAAACCCTTTTAGCTTTTCTTTTACGATTGTGTCTATTTTTTTGACAGATAATCCCCTTTTAAACATTCGAAGTTAAAAACACGAATTTGGGCGAAGAGATCTCATTTCAACGAATTTTTTATCAAGCTGTTCAATTGTACTAATATGGAAAATTGTTATTTTATAGAAGGGGTTTTGTGGAGATTTAGTATTTATTATAGTTGATAGCGTGAGTCAATTGAAACTAGACCACCATGGGAAACCTGGAAACACTGGATGGAGACTGGTAGGTCCTGGGTTCGAATCTCGCGAGATCGGGTTCGTGGATGCGTACTGCTGAGGAGTCCCATTATAGGACGAAACGGCCGTCCAATGTTTCCAGGTGTCCCATGGTGGTCTAGCTTCTATTGACTCACGCTTTCAATTGTTTTTTTGTTAAAGTACTCATGGGAACACAAATAACCAAGATGATGGAATATAATCTTTCTATTACATCATCTTGGTTATTCTTGTTCACTTTAAGGGCTGAATTTATTATAGAAGTTTTCTAAAAAGGTCTCAAATCATTTAGTTTTTCCCTTGTTAATAAATGGCAGTTCTGATAATTAACATAACACATTGTGTTATTCGATAAAAATAAAGAGAATTCAGCGAAGAAAATTTCTTTTTCCATTAAATCGTTTACCTAAGCTGTACATTCTCGTTTATAATCATACGGAAAATACATGTCTAGAGAAGGATAGAAAAGATTGCATTATAAATGGATTCGAGACTCTTATTATCAAATGAGGTTACGCAATAACCAATGGGTAAGGAAGGAATATAACGATGAAAATAATAATTCACGGGTCAGATAATTGTCCAATTGACAGGTATGAAGAAAAATAACAAACATGAAGGTCATAATAATAAAAAATGAAAAATAATCAAGAAAACTTGTATAAGGCAATAATAATAACTGATTAGAGTTTAAAATTACAAAACAGTTATCTAAAAAATCAATAATAACCGAAGAAAAACGAAGAAAAAAGGGAGAAAAATCGAAACACTACTAAAGAGAATCAGGGGCAAGGAAGGATGAGAGGGGTTGGACCAATCGTTTCTGTACACAAAGTTCGCGTCTGAGTTCGTGGATTGCCAATGCTCCGGCAATGCAAAAAATTTTGATTCAATTTCCCTTCGATCCAATTCATTTGACTGTGTAGATTACTTTATGAGAAAACTCTTTTGGAGTGATGTGTTCACAGTTAATTAAATGCTCCTGTATAGAACTAGTAATTGTTTTATGTTCTCCTTTTAAAAGCCATGTCGGATAGTGTTCTGAGATGCGTTTTTGAAAGTGCTCGCTTTGTGCGGCCAATGTAGCCTGCCCCACACGAGCAAGTAAATTCATAGATAAATGTTGTTCCTAAATTTTGTAGTACGTCAACTAACATTAATGAATTCAACTCTAAAATCTAGGTTGAAAGCCTCATTCATCAGACAAGTGATTTTATTCCAGTATCTAATAAAGATTATGAGCATTTCAAAACAACTCTTGTAGACTGTTGTTATCAATATGTGAAGAAAATACCAACAATTAGTCTATTACTCACAAAAGAGCATAGATCTCAATTATCTGATCTTCCGAGAAATCAGGACTTAGTGTTGTGTCTCCTAAACAAGGGTCTGAGAATCGTCTTTGTGGATCGTCCTGACTATGTCACCAAATTGTGTTCGATATTATATGATCCTGTCAAATTCTCCAAAGAAACCGTTCAAAAAGACAACTGAAAAAAACGGAACAGATGCTTATTAAAATCCTAAAGAAGATGAAAGATGAGTTTACTATCAATTGTCACCTCTATGAACATCTTAGACCATCGGGTTCCGTTATACCAAGAATATATATGGACTCATAAAAGTTCATAGTTATAATGTTCATCTACATCCTATGCTCGATATGGACGACTCTCTGTATCATATGATTGCTAAATGGCCAATCCGTTAAAAATCATATCAATAAATACAACTCTCTTGATTCCTTTGACTTTGTCGACTCAATTAAAAATGTCAATATAAATGATAGGAAAATGATCTCATTGGATGTTACTTCTCTTTCTACAAATGTTCCTCTCACAGAAACTATATGTTTTTTATGTAACTACATTGAAAACAATAACCTTGATATTTGTATCCCAAAACATCTAGAAGAGCTACTTCTACGAAGTAATCTCATCGTGCAACTTAGATTTATTGATGATTGCTACAGACAAATGGATAGAGTTGCAATGGGTTCTCTATTGGTTCTCCTCTTGGCTGATTGTTTCATGGCCAATCTAGAAAATACCTAACTTCGACCAATAATTGAGAGATTTCACTTATATAAGTGATTTATGGATGATACTTTCATTATTTGTTAAGAAGATATAAACCTTAATGAAATTTTGAAGTTTCAGTAATTTTCACCCCTCTATTCAATTCACTTTGGAAGCAGAGGCAAACAATGAATTTCTTTTTTTTGATGTATAGAAAAGCGACCTGGAATGGGCAGTAAACGAATTTCCATAGCCGGGTACCACTGAGTAGAAATAGGAATTTAATTCACTCTTTATCCTCAAAAATCAGGCGAGTATGTTTTACTGACACAATAGATGAGGAACTACTTCGACATCGACAGATTCTCTTTGGGAATGGTTATCCACCTAGATTCGTCGTTAGCAACTTAACAGCTAGACGTCATCCTGACAAAGCACCAACAGTACAGAAGAAAATTCTATTTATGAATATGGAATTTAAGGGAGATACGACTGCTGAAATCTTAAATAAACAGATTTCAAAATCGTTGAATAAAACGTTCTACTCAGCTAAGCTCAGAATTGTTTTCTCAAGCCGGCCCACCATTCTCCGATGTGTTAAGTATAAACTTCCTCTTTGGGCCACATCAACGTGTATCTATGAATTTACTTGCTCGTGTGGGGCAGGCTACATTGGCCGCACAAAGCGAGCACTTTCAAAAACGCATCTCAGAACACTATCCGACATGGCTTTTAAAAGGAGAACATAAAACAATTACTAGTTCTATACAGGAGCATTTAATTAACTGTGAACACATCACTCCAAAAGAGTTTTCTCATAAAGTAATCTACACAGTCAAATGAATTGGATCGAAGGGAAATTGAATCAAAATTTTTTGCATTGCCGGAGCATTGGCAATCCACGAACTCAGACGCGAACTTTGTGTACAGAAACGATTGGTCCAACCCCTCTCATCCTTCCTTGCCCCTGATTCTCTTTAGTGGTGGTTCTGATTTTCAAGGTTGCCCACTCTAATAACTTTCCAATTCATATTTGCTTACTGATCCTTGTTGTTATTTGATTGATTGTTCTCGTTAGGTATTTTTTATCAAATGTTCAAGTCTATTTTCTTGATTATAACAGAATTGTCCCGTTAAATTTTCGATTTCATCGAATGACAATTTTTTTCCTGAGTTCTGCACTTTTTCTCATCAATCAAGGATTATTCTCGAACTATCGTGTATATGTCGTACGGATTTGTTCGCGTGAATTGCATTTCGCTCTAAAAACAGCTTACTGTCGTTCGTAATTCTTAATTATCATAGCTTTCACAAAAGTGAACGAGACTGTTGGGAAGCTTTGAAATTATGTAAATAATATCATTATATACATTATCTATATATATGAAGATGCTTATTTATAGTGTTTAGTGATTTTTATCTTTTCTCTATTTTTTTCCCCTCATATCTGTTTAGATGTTTTCAATATTATTGATCTTAGATGAAGTTTCCTTATCTCTTAAAAGAGTTGTTGTTCAAAATGACGCGTAAGTGTACCCTATACTTTTTGTAGAACTATGGCTTTTTGACTTTCGGGTCTGATTTTTCACTTGAGAGCTGTACTGTTTTGTATTGTATCGCTCTAAATTTCCCGTTTATAATCCAAAACGTGAAAACATCTAAATAAAACACTCGAAAAATAAATCAAACCTAGTGACCAACTATGCAATGGAGACCATTCATATCACGACTCTGTTCCAGAAAGTGATAAAATCCAAGGTTTTATCACTGCGAAACGATCAGTATTGAACCCTTTAAAATCTTTAAAATTATTAGAGTGTTTGAGGTCAGTGTTTCAGTACGTATATTTGTTCATGGAAATGTCATCTACATGATGGTTGAGAGTGTATCATATTATTACATCATTACTAGTAAGTTAATTCTACATTTGTTCCAAGTCAATCCATTCTTCTAGATATTCTTAAAAATTGTTAAAAGGCTTGATATTTACCCACCTCAAAAAACATTCCACTATTATTCGCTACTATTAAATTAGATAATCTGCATCAGTTTTTAGAAAAAGCTGCAGGATTCTGTCACTTCCATCTATTTAAACCTTAATTATTACTAATACCCTTAATCTCTTACATGAATTTTTGTGCAAGTTTTCATGTCGTGGACCTAGGCATACAAAAGTTTTATAATTCAATAAAACAGAACGATCTTTAAGAAATTGAAACTCCACAATTGCATTGTGTTTATAGGTGTTGCTTTGACGTTTTGTGAATTCGTATACTACTTGGATAGTTTTTTTCTTCCTCATAGTATCTTGTGACTTCAATTAATGTTATTCCAAACTTTTCAGCATATTGACAAACATATTTGAATATAGAGCCTATTTGGATTTATTTTTTACAAAAAAATATAAAATGTATTTGTGTATATATTCCTTGATTTGATTTCTTCTTCCCATAGACGTTCTCGACTGTTAGATTATCAACAAGAATTGATTAATCAACTAATCAGCGAACTACTCCAATCATCATCGATAACAAGTGGAACAACATCTAAAGAAGAATTTTTCAAATCAGTTGAGAATGGTCTGTTTTCATTACCGGAAAATTTTTTTTCTATCCATAAGGGAATGCGTCTATGGTGTTTAACACTACATCATCTACCGACAGTAAGCTGTTTCAGAATTTTTTATTTAAATAAAAGTTTTAGTTCGACCACTGGATTCTTATTTGGAACTTTAAAGTCCTCACTATTTCTCCTAATTATGTCATCTTTCTAAAAAATTATATATGTCTAAATGATAAAATAGTTGTCACTTTAAGGAATAAAAATGGAGTCCAATAGTTCAATAGTTAGGATGGTCAAATCTCACCCATTACGTAGCAGGTTCAAGTTCCGTTTCGCCTGGTTCGATTTAAGCTTTACTACATAATTTAGCTAAAATCTGAATGCACAAATTTGTTTATAGCAAGTGAGTTAATATTTAAAAAAAAACATGGGTTGTGGGTTAAAACACTGTTATATAGGTTGATCACAATCAATGTATGTTAATAGATAGGTATATAAGCGAAAGTTTATAGCTTAGTACTGAATCGTTCTTGGGCTATTCTATACAGTAAGCAAACTGTTTATTATTGCTTCAAAAACTAAATAATCAATATTGAGATACTAATATAATTGAGATTCACCCTTTTTCAATCAATTTTATGCACTTTCTTGATAATTTCATTCATTCATTTTGTATTAACCATTGCAAGAATTAATACTTTTCGAACTTAAAAAAACTTTGTTTTTAGAAAATTCAAACCAATTATTTGTCAAAATTTATTCATGATTTCCTTCGACTTCGTCAGCTTTGGCCAACTACAATGAATGAAGTAGGTTATGTTATCTCTGCTCTTAATCTTTCACTTACTTTCTTCAATCCTTCATATTTTCTTTTATATCATAAGAGAGTTGTTATCTAACAATTATTTTTTATCCATTTTTAATAGTATTAGTATATGGAATCTTTTAGTTCCTTAAAACTGTAAACTACAAAAGCAATATAGAGCATACCATTCCCTATATTATACAACAGTTTATTGTGAACAGGCAAATATTCTGATTTAATGACAATCATCGCGTTGCTAATTAGATTATTTGGTAGAAGTTTTAACATATAGCTTTTTGAATCCTCACTTGCGGGCTAGGCTAAAGTAAACATATAAAGAAAAGCCATCCAAGATCTAGAAGTAACCTGCGTTTTCACACAAAATTTGAGAATGAATAACTTTTTTATGTATCACGTAAAACGAGTAGTGCAAGTACCTTTGTACGGTATTCAAACCGTTTAAATTGATATTGGAAAATTAATTTTTAGCGTCATAGGTTCAAAACTGTGTTGAGCATATCGGATGCACTATTCGGAATCGTTTGCAATAGAGCATTTGTATCCATCTTTCGGCTTTCTCCCCTTTAAATGCTAAACTTCTGAATTCATCTTAATTTCTTTTATGTCATTCCACTTATTTATGTTTTCTTGGATCACATCTTCAATGCTTACTCTGGGATTTGTCCAAACAATTTCATCTCGTCGTGTTAGTAGAGTATGGCAACTTAAACTAATGTGCATACATAACAGACTGTACTTTACATTTGACTACCTGGGACATCCAGTTCTTTCTATGTAGGTTATACATAGCACTCAAATAAACAATCTCCGTAAATTATAACCCTAAACCCCATAATCTCTTGAACTGTAAATAACAGCCCCTTATCCCAACCCTAACTAGAAACAGTATGGGAACTCCTACAAATCTATTTTCGTCTTTATAAGTGTTCGGGAAGACAGGGAGTATCTTTGTTTAGAAGGATTTATATGCCGTTGTTTTTCCAATTTCAAGACAGAACATATAAAAGTCCTTAGTGATTTCGTTAATTATGCTAAACCTATATACCCTTTTACTACTATTATTATTTATTTTCCATGACCTAGTCTTCTACAGGCTGTTTTCTGATCGGACAACATTAGGCTAAAACTCACTGAAGTCGTTTCAATCTTCTCTTCTCACTATACTATCACCTTGGCCATTATTTCCATTACGAAGCAAGACTTTAGGGTGAAACAAATTAGCCCCGTCAATATCTTTTTAACTTTAGCGATTTTCTAGACGTTGATACCATAATAAAATTATAAATCTCATGTATCCCATTTCTCATGAACTAATCATAGTTGTATTTATGATATGTTTTGAACATGCTTTGACCGCTCATCAGTTTATTTAAATTTGTGTACTTATGTAGCAATTTTACAAGTTCTTTTATCCATCATTTGTCATTCTCCCTTTTCCATTTCAAATATGTCAATCTTTAATCATTGACAGTATCTAAAGTCTTTATTTTTGATTAGGTTAAAACTGTCTTATGTTAAGTTACTTTATAGTTCCTACAAGTAACCTAGACGGTCATAAGATTTAATCATGGTCATTTGGTCCTTTGTGTTCGGAATGTACGGAACTCTTGATGTAGTCATTTATTTTCTCTTGTTTTTTGCTTGTTGTGATCGGTGAGTCATGTTGGAAATCTTGGCTTTGTCGAATTTTCTAATAGAAAGCTCCATTATTGAAGGTTGTTAATCTATCATTCTTTTTGTCACAGTTGAATTCACAAGTCAATATAAGACAGACCACCGTTGAAAATCTGGAAGCGCTGGATGGCCGTTTCGTTCTAGTATGAGACTCCTCAGAATTGCTAAGTCGTGCTGGATTTGAGACATGTTTTATGATAATTGAAAAGACTTTCTGATGCATGGACTATTCTTGTTTTGGAATCATCGTGAAAAGTATCAAACTGCTATATCTGAGTTCTAAATATCACTGTGTCGAACCAGTATGAATCGAACTTATTTTTATACTTTGTAGGATAAGTTTTCGACTTTTAGACATTTTACGTCGTAGACTCTAACCATGGGTTTTAAAAAAATTAGGATGATACTATCTGAGGCCTAATATAATATTGTTTTTACTAACCGAAATAGGATATCAAAATAAGAAAAAATTCAAGCAACCAACTATGTGCTTACAAGTAACCATAACTCTCAGTCTAGCAAAGTTACCTGATTCTCTTGTGTTTACTTTTTTGTTGAGGACATTAAGATGCACTGAGTCACACACACACACAGTATGCATGTCTAAATACTCGGGTAAGGATAAAAAAGGCGTAATGTGGTATTATTGGAAATATTAAGCTAGGTGAAATAAATTGAAATGTATCTCTGTGTGTGTGTGGGGGGGAATAGCTTCTTGTGAATAAAGTTATTTTAGTTGCTATAATTATTAGCTTGTCACGGAAAGTATTATTCTCATTGTTATCTGGTACGTAATCCCATCATCACAAATATTTTGTAGATTATCAACAATAGTCTGATCACCTGATATCTATTCACTTTGAATCTTTGGTGTTTGATTTTGTTTAATGAAATTATCAATTCACTTGACCCATTCACATAGTATTTTGTCGGCTCACTGTGCTGTCATAAAAACTACTCTATCCAGACATATAGCCCAAACATACTCGCTATTTTACTTATTTTAGATGTTCAGTTTTAATATTATCTTTTAACTTGCAAATTCATCTTGTCTTTTAAAATCATATTGTCCGTGTATAATCTTTTCTACTTCCACTGATAGTTTTATTACTTTTACTACTCTGTCATTTGTCTTGATTTTTTCATCTTCTTGTGGTGATATGGTGTGGCAACTTCAACGGATGCATATATTTTCCAGCTTCTACGTCACGTACTGATTGATGAAGAGCAGATAGCATTGAATAATTATTTGTCCCTAGACTGGGACCTCTGAGAAGCTGACTCTTCAAGGACAGAACCTGGACATTTAGGCTTTCAGGTTAATGGTATAATTGTTCTGTATCACCTACCAACTGAAAATGTATACTATGGACTTTCTACTAAGTGGGTGTTATACTATAAGATTTAAAGATCCTGAATACATGCCGAGTTATTACTGTTAAGGGATCTTAAACTGCAGTTGGACAACTTCCGAATGTTTCTTCAGTTAATATCAGTTCATAATATTACACTATTCTTCACAAGGATTCATTGAATTACTGTAATTTATTTTGTCAATTTGTGCACTTAACTTTGAATAAACCTACTGTTGAATTTTATTATTATTAATATAGGCTGCTTCCATATTCTATCCTCATTTACGTGAAATTATATATCAATTGAAACATATTAACGATTTCTTGAGGCTATGCTTTCCTGATGCATTAAAAATGAATTATGATTCACAGTTAACTATTCCGATAACTGATAATCTGAAATCTCTTTTATCATGTAAAGTAAGTGAATTATTGATTTTAATCTTATGCTGAGTACATATTACACTTTTTTTCGATCTCCTTAAGATTTTTCCGTTTACACTTTGTCATAACAACTTTACTTTATCCTCGATCGTTTTTATAACATACATTAAAACTAATAAAAACAATATATTTGCAATATCCCAATGAGTGGGAAAATTAAACTTTTAAATTTTCTGATGATTCTTCACTCAATATAAGCCATTTCTGCAGAGAATCAAGTCAAAACTTGGTAATGACAACTACGAATACATTAAAACTGGTCTTGGAGACTGATGGATTAGACCAATACACCATATGTGTATGAGTTTTAGTTTATTTAGCTTAATTTATCGTTTGAAATACTATTATCTGTTGCATTTCGCATGTAATATAAAATGTCGATACACACAACATTCAAAATATTATGTGTTAATCACCATGCTTTTCCTTTTGTTTTTCTCTCTTTTGAGCAAGCCTTTATCATATTTTATAACTTATTCCAATCACATTTTTGTCAATTAAATTAATTCTTATTAATAGATGACAAAATGTTACGTAACGGATATTTGTGTAGAACAGAATATCAAAGCTATCAAGCGCACTTACGATTTTTTGTAACTTTTAGATTACCACATCTACCAAGGGCGATAGGACAGTGCATATATACGATTCTATGCTTTTTACCATGGTATTTCTAGGTTATATATATATATTCTGTCCTACTTAATTTAAAATACAGCTAAGATCAAATAGTTTGGACTTTCAGCAGTTAAGTTGCACGATCGAATCCTGCTCACTGGATAGTATTACATTGTGTGACTCAAAGTCGAGTACATGAAAGTCTGTACTAGGTTATTTGTAAGAGGATTCTATTACAATCAATTTCATTACACTATTTTATTTCGTTTAAGTGATTGTATCAGTAACTCTGTGCTCATTCAATTGGTTTTGTCTGTTGATAAAGCTGTTCGTGCATGTTTTGTAATTTACTCTTTGGATTGTATGACTTTTTTATATCATCTATCTAAAACTGGACAGTGTTTCTTTGTCTGCTTACAATTAGGTAAGTAGCCTGCATAGATAAAGGGGTATTAATGAAATAGGTAGTGGTGATTTATGACATAATCTTTCCACTTCTTATGTATGTAATAATCGAACAAAAACGAATTGACTCATAATGAAATAATGTTTCAGCTTATCGATTACTACCTTCAAATTTCCATAGCAAAGTAGTATGTTTATATCCACATTAAATTATATCAATGATATTAGCCACTTACTCTTCGGTTATTTTCCTATGTTCTGAAATCCTAGTTGTCTGAGTATTTGGACCATTTTTCTTTCTAATACTCGACTAATTAACTGTGATTGTTTCAAATATATTAACTAAAGCTGATATACAGTTGACTAAGTGTTTGTAATGTTAAATTACAGCCTCATTATTTAAAAAAATGTCAGCTGGTTTAGGTTAAATAATTCCAAGTAAATTTTATGTTTTGTTAAAGAAGCTTAATGGTCATACTACTGACCATACCCAAATTTGTTACCAGTAAGGTTTTTCTCACATAACGAACATCTCTGATGATTCTTATTTTAGTACAATAAATGATATCTCACATATTCCAATAGATTTCAAGTTATGGTAGTGAGATCTAAAAGTAAAGAGCTTTTAAATCTGAAATTACTTTAAAAAAGATTTTACTTGATTGGCCTTCAATGTAACTGCGCTTTAGGATCTGCCATTACTATCCTCGTGCTTATGACCTTCACCACTAAATCAGTTTCCACAAGAAGATATATGTTTCCATAATGAAAACAGTCTACAAGCGACAACTACTTGTAACCTAAGTGTAATTTAATTAAATATATAAATTGTTTAGTTAGTTAAAGTAACATTTTGTCGTTTTGATGGTCAGCTTTAACCGACTATCCTAACATTCATAAATGAAAATGACCTTCCCTTGAGTGTATACTTCCATCAGATCGAAAGGGAAAAACAAAGTACTTAATTTCTTCTTTTAAATGTCAGTCAAAGTAAGTTGTGACTGCCTAGTGAGCGAGGAAAAACATATCCGGTCAGGTACATCAAACGTAAAAGATTATCCTATTTACAAAACTGATTTTGCTTTAGTTCTACTGTGAATCTGTTTGTTAACTACTCCTTATTGTTTGATAGTACACTGCCTTTCTGACCTATATATCTGTTTATTGACTTAAAGTATTTGAGTTCAGGTGATCAAGTATCCATGATCTATTGGACCATTAATTCCACTGTCTAGCCTACTGTATTGATCTGGTGTCCAGAATAAGATAGGCAAAACCCTGTTTTTTTCATTGTAACAATCGTATTTTCTACATTTTATGTAGCGACACGACTCTTTCCGAATAAAACTATGTAAAGGCAAAGTGATACGAAACGACATTTATTTGTAAAACCAGCGATAATCAACCTATCGAAGTGGTCTTTCTACTCTTTAACTGTTTTTTGTATCACACTATTGTTTCATTTTATTGATTGAAATAATTTAATCTAAAATGTTTTTTTCCTGTTGTTCTAGCTTGGCTTATCTTTGATATTTTGTTTGCTCGACGCATGTGCTCGTGCCTCCAACCCCACTGATCCATCAGATTTGTAAGTTTATTTATACCTGTTCATTAAACTTGATCAATACTACATTATCTCACATAGAAAATCATACCTGTTAGTGAATAATAATAAATTAGGTTTTTATATTGAAAATTTTGTACACTGTTATATGAATATATACCTGTCATGGCTCTTTTTTATTTCTTTTTTCTAAATATATGTTTATCAAGTATCCAATTTGGAGCGTATTTTAGTTATGCCAATTCATTTATTGATCGTACTTTCATTAACAATACCACTGATGAATGCGATTACGTTATGGAGTCATTTCCACATTTAGCTTCCATTCTATTGTTGTATATTAAACCATCGAAATATGGTCTGTTAACTAATGATCATTTGAACACATTTTGTGATTTAGCAACCAAAACCATTAAAACATCAAATAATGATATTACTACTACTACTAGTAATAATAACAATATGAATATGAATCAGCAACTATCAACTGGGATCATTGATTCACCTACTGCTATCCATACTTCAGTTTCATCGCTATCATCGTCAAGTTTGACACAATGTTGTACCACAGTGAGTAACTCACACAACTCTACCTTGAGTAATCATTATCATGCTACTCAACAACAACACCTTACTATGGATAATTCAGCACAGTCAACGAATTCACAAAGTTCTGAAAATGTTGTATCAAATATTGCAAAAAATTCCGATGATCTATCTGTATCAGTAGTTGTTGGTTAGTAGTTAGTATTAGTAGTAGGTTCATATCTAATAAATACAAATATAGAATTTAGTAAGCAGGAGAAAGAGGAAAATGCAAAAACCTGTTTTGTTTTCAGTTAAGTAAGTTTTTTGTTCTTGTGTATTTGTTTGTTATTTGTAGTTTTTTTTCTCTTTTTATGTTCAATTTTGTTTGAATTCAATCCTGATCATTCTTGAATCTACTTGGGATTTCTATATATAGTGAATCCGTCTGTCCATATATTAGTCCTATTCTACTATCATGTGACTTATAACTCTTCACTATTAGGTTCCGAAATATATTGGATTTTATAAATTTTTCTTTCTTGTACAATATCTCCCCATCAATGCATGCTGTATCTCCGAAACAGGCCCACACAGATCCATGCATATTGATCTACTTAAATTTAATTGGTCAATATAGAGAACCGGCACTATTTACACTTCGTATATCTGGAGAATTGATTTCTACCCCTCTTGGTCTTTCTGGTGTAGGTATAACACTAAGTTCGAAAGAGAAACAGGCTCTTCTAGACTGAATACTGATAGACAGTCACCTATGTGTTGTCCGACTAAATGAGAAAATAGGAACACTGAAAGATAATAGCATGCACCGTTTTTTTCTGTGCCTGTGCTCCCGCTGACCGCGATTTGGATGAACTAAAGGATGAGTTCTATAGAAAGCCTTCTACACTCCTACAAAAAGCTAAACGCTTGGATGTCGTAATCTCAGCACGAGACTTAAAAACCAAAGTGGAAGACACGTAGGTGGACCTTGCAGAGTCCGAACATAATCAGGAACAAAGGCAATTTAAACATAGATTGATAGAGTCTACTTAATGATCGCAGACATTGGCGGAAAGCTATGTAAAATTTGGGAGCGACAGACAATGGTAGACAACTTTTGTACTTATCAAAGAAACAGCTACTCAGTATGTAGAAGTTGGTGGGAATATTTTAGAAAAAGATAGGACAATGATCCACCTTTAACACTGGAGACTGGAACAATGAGTAAAATACTGCGCAGAACAGTTTAATTGCTTTCCGCCTACCCTTTGTTTGCTCAGCTTTTCTATGCAGCCCGATATCCAAATAAAACCTCCCAACTCTTATAGAAGTAAAAAAAAGCCATAACTGATGTAAAATGAAGGAGAGCAACAGGCCTTCATGAAATAACCGCTCAAATCTTTAAGGACAGTGGTTCAGTTTTAGCTTTTAGGTTGACTGAGATCTCAGTTGGAGTCCTGAAACTGGACGTAATCCCACCTGAATGATTTCGATCGCCGACTGTTCCGGTTCATAAGAAAGTACAAAAATGCATCCAGTTCAAATTACATAGTTTTTAAAATTTTAGCCTCAATAGTCATCTAACACCTGATTAAGACCCATAAAGAGTAAACTCGGGAAAATCAGTCTGGTTTTAGAACTTAATGAACATTTGTAGACCAAATATTAGCTTTTCGCCCACTTCTGTAGCACGCCTACGTACTGACTCCCAACAATAGTTGGCTTTCTCTCTAAGGTAGCATTTGATTCTCCAGATCGATAGGTTATATGGCAAGTATTTGTCCACTGATAAGGCATAACAAAGAAATACATCAATCATGTACAGGCTTTCTACTCAAACATCACTGGCTGAGTAAGAGCGTGTGGTTAACTGTCACTGGAGTTAAAAAGTCCAAGTTTTGTTTGCCAGCGTGATCTGCTCCCTTTGTTTTTTATTTAACTCGAGTGTCCGTGAAGGAGACTAGTTGTATTCTGTTTTTCCCTCTCTCACTAACTTTTGTAAGTAGAACAGTTGCTGATGACGGTCCCTGTGTGAACAAAGTACATATGATTTAATGGAGTATATATAAATTACAATGATTAGAATTTATAAATCGAGTATTTATGAAGGTAGACAAATTTTAGTAAAAATGTATTGGAAGTTCATTAGTTTACACTGAATAATTCAGTGAAGCAGTAATTCATTTTAATCGATATTGATTTACTTTTTCATGAGTAGCATTTAGAGATAGCTCACTGCCAACACTTTCCGTAACGATGAGACAATCGTTAGTGGGGTTGTTTTTCTGATTGGAATGTATCTTCCGCCCTTCAAAAATGCTATTGTTGTTTATTTAACTTCTGTGAGAGTAACTATGACGTTGCAGCCTTATGATCTTGTATCACTGTTCTTCAACCGCTCTGCTCACAATATTACTTTACTGAAAACACTGCATTGTGTCATAAAATGTCCTACTCTTGTACGCTAGCCCAACTGAATAATTGAGTGAGAAGAAAGCTATTTATTATCCACCTGAATCGAGAAGTACCATTCTCCGCTTTTCAATAATTTTCTATATAATATTTATTTGTGATAAACATCGTCATATTCACATATCACAATTACATAATTTTTTGTAATGTATTTTCACATTTTAATATGATTAATTTTAGTTTTTTCATTATAATACTGTGTTATATTCTATCTCCAGCTTTCGTTTATTGACCATTGGAACATTGAGCAATTGAATGGATCATGTGTTGTTAAAGACGTGGTTTTCTCATTTGTTTTTCTTTAAAATTTTAAGTTTAATTATTTTGATCTTCCATAAGAAAATCACATCGCAATAAAGAGTGGAGAACAACTTTTTTTTTCATTATATTGAACTAGACATTGCGATTGTAGAATTCTTCTCGACATTTGATCATCGTGCTATGATTATATAATTTGGTGATGATTCATCATGAGATTTTTGTCATTAAAATGAATTGTTTAACCTTATAAAAGTGTATTTCATACAATCAAGTAAAATATATTTACATATGTTTACCCATTTGTTCGAATGCAATTTATTATATGCATCTCTATCATATATATATATCTGTGTGTTTATGGAAACTATTGTTATTATTCTGTTAAATTTAAACTCCACAACCGATCATGCAATAACTAGATCATCCTTGGGTTCTCCTTTCTTTTTGGTATTTCATAAATTGTCTTATTCCTATCGACATTGAAATAAAATAACAGGTGTATAATTTATTTTTAAAAACTCCAATGTATAAAACTTTTACATCATCACCGTTCTCTTTTAGTCGTTTCTTTTCTCCTACATACTCGTGCTTCTCTTGCCTGGCTTTTTCTTTTCCGTTTCGCTGATGCCATTAGTAAAGTTTGCATATCTTTTTGTTGCTTGACACCGAAATCCCCACCATATATTTTTTTTCTTTTCAATAATTGTGAAATAACCTTTTGAATAAGAAGAATGGAGATCAAATTTTTGTTGTTCTCTCTTGTCAGACCATATTTTACTCGATATCGGGGTAGAGGGAAGAGTTTATCGTCTAATCGTTTTATTTGAATATTTTGTAGGCAGTTTTCGTCATATGATTTATTTGACAATTTGAAGAGTAGTACTTGATACATTTGACATTCTACCTTAACACGAGTAGGTGTGGATTCACATGGTTACGTAGAATTAAATTATTTATGAATTCGTGTCAAGCACGATATTTTTAGATCACTGTGTTGAAACTCTAGTGTGGTCCATATTTCCAGCTTCAATTCATGATATAGTCACTGTTTATCATTGAATTCCTTACTAATTCCAGTTGATTTTACAGGTCAACTATTCAAACTGGTCTTCAGAAATTCCCAACTGATAGTCAATTATCTTTGAACATAGGATTATAATTTCTATATAAACAACTTTCAGCGTTTCTCATAACTGATCTTAGTTCATGTCGCGAAGTGTGCAAAATCCTCCTGGAAATAATCTGGCTTTGTTTCAGGGTCTGTAGTTCCTTTATATTTGTGTTTGTATTTGATATAGAAAATAATATCGTGTTAAAGAAAGTCAAATGAACCGAAAAGATTAGTTGATTAAGTTTACTTCGCGATTTCAATTGTTAATTTTAGGTAATTATTCAGAAACTCCTTTAGATGTAGAAAACGTTTTGGTTGATTTAGACAAGTTTCGTCATCAGAACATTGACTTCGAGATCTGACAGTTGTTGGTTGTGTGCTCATCATTAGAGTATTGCATACTAGTGCGTAATTGACAATAAAGATTTCATTTCATTACTCCGAAGCTATCTGTACTTGTTTGTTTAAGATAAATCAGTATTCCATTGGTGTGAGGGTGAAAACCAAGCGTTATTTCAGTCTTATACAAATATATCTAGTGTGGTACAGTTAGACATGGTAGATCAAAAACGTAAGTCCCGAAAATATATGGTGGAAATTACACTTACGCACATCATTCGCCCACTAAATGAATGATACACGGTATTGTTTAGCGTAATATATATTCTGATTTATGAATTTCAAAATTAACACCTTTTTCTGAGGGTAAACAATGAATGAATCATATTAATCGCTTTAGTGTTTACGCTTGACTTGTAAGGGAAGCATAATATAAGGCTTACATACATAACTATTGGTTATCACAAATCGAAAACAGGAAACTTGGTCGTAATATTCCTACAGTTGGAAAAAATACCGAGTGAACTGAGCAGACTATAGCAACCATCCTACACCCAATTTCGATTATGGTTAATCTTGGTTAAGCCCTTTTAATTAACTTAGCAGACATTGTCATTTGGATAACAATTCGCATATGTCTTTGTACTGTTATGATCACTAGAGCACATGACAGACTCTAGCCAAAACGTTGGTTGCTTAAATATCATTCTATGATCCAACCTCCTCCCCGTATATGTATGCACTCAAATCCTATTATTAGGTTTTATTTTGTCTTGTTGCGCTCTTATACAGTTTGACTATAAATTTGCCTATGTAATTGCTCTCGCTGATGCTTACTCATGTGCTTGTAGCTTTATGGCCTGCGTCATTTGATAATAAATTGTAGTTGCCGCTTCTCTTTGCCTTCTGATTTCATGCACCGTTGAGATTTATATTATAACGGTTATCGAGGTGATAGATTAGCGAAGCATTGCACTACAAGACCACTAGATAAAGGAAACCTGTGCATCTCATTATTAATGCAAAATCTACTCTGAACTAGCGTAGTGAAAATTCATACGTAAAGTCTCTGTGCACAAATACTAAGTTTTTATTAAAGTTATTTTTGTAACAAATCTATGCTGTATCCAATTCTACAGTTTCTGGAAAACTTGACTGTAGTGAAAGGCTGGCTGTGTATTACTCCCTTTCATCTGCTTTAATTTTATCAACTGTGGTACTTTTTAAATCTAAATTATAAGTTCAGTCAATTATCTCTATTATATTTTCTGTTTAGTGTTTTTTTGGACACTATAACTTGCTTGACTTTTCCAAGAACAAGAATTGAAAGCAATTAATGTGTATTATGATAAAACCAAAAAGCGGAGGTATATTACTAAAACATTTGAGATTATAAAGAATATACGTAAGAATCCCCAGCATCTCTGTTTGTCTGTTATCGTTGATTGATTGGAAAGAGATCAGTCATTTCATTTCGATTTGAATCTGATCAGTGTATACAAAATAGTCAGCACTATCCTGTTAGTATCTCCATTTGTTTAACATTTAGAAAGACTAGTCGTATATATGTTTCTGTAATACTAAAATTGTTCTTTTAATCAATCAATACATAAAATTCATTTGAAACTTCAGTTAATGACTAGTTTCACTTATCTGTTTTGAGTCCTAGATTTTAACAGACTAAACTTAATCTTTAATGTTAACCAGCAACATTCTTGGTAATGTTCTAACCTACAGTATTGAGTTTGCTTTTGTCATGTGATGTTTAATCATATCACTACACACCCTAAGTCATAGATTTCAGTTGAACAAATCAAAATTTTTCTGAAAAAAAACCTTAATGTATATGTGCTGTCAACAAAATTTGAAAAAAATTAATCATTGGAATGAGACGTCTAACTTATGAATGTTTTACGAATATGTTTACTGAAAAATTTAATTTTGTGAGCATTTAAATCTCATAATGATAAATGTAGTAACTTGACTTATATGCCAGTGTTGCGAACTGAACTAAATACTGACTACTGTTACTGATATTCTGTTTACTGTAACCACTTTAATAACTGCTACGTGTCATGACAAAACAAGACTGCTATACTGACGGAAGGAAGAAAAGACCTCTTTATTCATCAGCCATTAACTATACAACATTCACAATAGTGATAATAAATTGCTTACCATTTAAAATGCTCAGTCGACCGATAAATTTTAATGAATTGAACTAATGGTTAATCAATAATCTAATGTTTGTATACGATCTGTAGAATCAATAGGTTAGCTTACTTGAATGAGGAATATAATTCATCCCGGAATTATATATTTGTTTCCATCTTAACAGTCGATCACTTAACTATGTTGTAGTGAGAAAATCTGCGTTCAATCTAGTCGAAGTGAATTCCAACTGTACTTCGACAACTTGTCAACATTTTGGATTATTAAACGCTTTTTTATTTTTCATTTAAACTATATGGGGTCGTTTTTCTCTAAAAAATACAACTGCGTTCAATATGAAAATGTTGGATGATATAGGGAGCTAAATTACGGATTATATTATATTTTTAGACATATTAGTAAGTTTTATGCAAGTCTGAACCAATCATTATTCATGCTTCAGACACGTAATTGTCTTATTCAAACTTAGAGAGAAGATAGAGACTGCATAGGAAGCAATGTTACTGGAAGCTGAATATGTATGTTTTTGCAATTTCTGCACATCCGTAAGTGATCAAACCGATCCAGGTAATAACATATTAGAAAGTAACCATGATGAGGCAAATAATCCACCTAATCTCTATAGCTCCTCGATACTTATGTTACTTCTCCATGAAGTCCTGAAAGACAGTGTGATATATCTGACTTCGAATTCTATATAATTATTGATTGATATTATCAGGAAGACTGAGTTGTTGTTTGATTTAACTTAAGTCTAATTCCTAGCCGGTTGTTTGTTTCATGAAACCTTAACGAATTCATCTTGGTATGAGAAAATCCAAATAAATACTTAGTTTTCCAAAGTGAAATTTTTTAATGGACTTTTAACCGCTTATCATCCTGACATAATGTCGTGACCATTGTAATGGATTCTGAGTGTTCACTTGATTACACAATCATTCAACTAACTGACTATTATTTTCAATCACTAAATTAGTTCTTTGAAATGAATTCTTCTATAATAATATTTCTAACAGACTACAAAATTGTATACCTTTTTGCATATCATATGATCTGGTATGAAATAAGACGCATATTTACAGTGTATTATAACGTTGATCTGTTAAACTTGACCATGACTTGTCTAACTTATTCATGTATCAGAATACATAAACAAAAATTAATCTCCAATGCATTAAGTAATCCTCAGCTGTCATAAGTTGGTATAGATCTTCTTGTTAAGAATGCGTACTCTTTGAAAACGAATGAAAAACGTATTTAGCAGGTGGATACAAACCTATACATCTTTGTTTAAAAAGCTTGTGACTTATAGCTATATCGAGGCAATCCACACGGGATACACATATGCCAATTGCAGTCCTAAACAACAATAGGAAGATACAAGCAAACATCATTAAGTGAATTTGAATATAAACCTAGTTGTTTTTAAAAATTACATATTTCATATTCTAAGAACCCAAATCTCTACATATGCTTCTATATGCTACACGATTTAATAGTCAGTAAGATATTCTGATCCAGCAATGGTTAATTCTCTATACATATATGTGTAACTTGCTTGAATAATTTGCTGATGTAGAATCTATTCATCCATATTTCGCTCTTTTATACTTTGTCTATGATGATGTAATGAACACATAATAGTGCTACAAACAAGCAACTACACGGCTCTATTTTTAATCTTGGACACACGTATGTCCTTTTTAATGTATATACTTGTAGAAAAAGTTTATATATTAAAATAAAAATTCAGCAATTAGTTCTTACCCTTAACCTACCCTGGTAATGCTGATTTATTATCCAGAGTGGTTATCACAGTGTTTTTGTGTATTCTATATTTTTATAGTTGAGTTTATGAGTCAATTAAAGCTAGACCACCTTGAAAGCACTGTACGGCCTTTTTGTCCTAGCATGGGACTCCTTAGCACTGTTCATCGACGATCCCGCCCGTAGGATACGAACTCAGGACCTGTCGGTCTCGCTCGCGAATGCCTATCCTCTAAACCACTGAGTTGGCATCCACTGGTGTCAATGACTAACTTCAACCAAACCACAAAATTTATTTCTCTTTGTCGCGACTTACCTTTTATATGTCTAGTTTACCTTTTAGTTTACCT